CAATATATGATCGAGTTGGAATTTACCTGAGATACCTGAGGATTATGGGTAACTGTAATCTAAAGGTTGTGTACACCGCCTCCGGCCGTAATAGCCCCGCGATGTCTCATACTGATCTCACTTCCAGCCAGACGTAAATCCAGTATTTACAGGTTTAGCAAAATCCTGTTAGTGGGTGTGAAGTCCATGTCACTAGACTTCCCCACTTGAGTCATACCTCTAACACTCACACTAGAGGAAGACCAGACGACCATGGTTATCAGTAAGCAGTGAGAAAGCAGCAAAGCCTGTACAGGATGGCGACAACAATGCACCCCTGACGGCTCATTCTTGTGGATGTTGACGTAGAAAAACCCGACGGAGAGAATGACGTAGTGACGCTGCCAGCATGCCCTTCCGTCCACTTGGGTATGCCAGACGCTGAGATGTCCCCAGCTGGGATCCTGTCATCATTGTTCTAGCCAGGCCGCCAGCCTGACGACACCATCTGGTGGATTGCTGGTACCACATTCATCTGGTTAGAAGCAAACATCTAGGGACGATGGAGCAGACTCGATGCCTCTGACCAAGGGGCCTTGTCTTAATTGGTTGGGTAGGAAGGGGCTGACCTTAACTGTGTTGGTCCGAAGTCAACGTGTTGGCTACAGTCAGCGTTTGAAGCGTCCAAACTACTTGTGAACGACAGCTGCTACAAGAAAGGAGGAGGAGAGAAGTGAGAAGTTAATGTCTCGGAGAAGTGACACATACTGTCCTGGAAAACCCCTGTCCCGATGGTAGCTCTATTAAGGATCCGCCCCATAGGCACCTACCAGTGTAGATGTGTCATGCCGAACCTGATAGAGTGAGGGAAGCGTGCAACGGTGCAACACAAAAGTTCACGGAGGTGTTAGTATGGATGGGATGGTGGTCACTGTGGATACGAGTGATGCTGTGTGTCCTAATCGGTGTTGGAGAAGAAGATTCTTGTGGAGTTGTTGAGAAGAGATGGAGAGGATCCTATGTCCTGTGGGATGAACATTACAGGTGTAGAAAATTGACTAGCCGGTCCCCCCACTATTGGAAAAGCTCCCATTCCTGTTATGAGTTCTAAAACTAGGCCACTAAGCAAGCGACCACCATTGTGGAATGAGGCAATGTCGCCGAAATTAGTTACCAGGGAAGCGGTACAATCGATATGTCTAATATGAGTAACTCTAGGCAGTTAGTACGTAGTGGATTATTTAGTCAAGAAACTCCACATCTCCAAAAACGATTTGTTCACTCATAGTAGATGGAAGCTGAAAGTTAGTTAAAAGTAAGCAAGTTTCTGTGGGCGACCTACCATCTGAAAATGTTAACTCTGTATCTCTGCCTGCTGCCAGATGTACCATCATCAATTGTGAGATGAGAGACCCGCTGAACAACAGAAAATAAGATATACAAAGTGTGTGTGTATGTGTGTGAGAGATAAGATCCATGATATACCAGAATATATAATGAATGAAAAAGATGTGAAATTATTTGAGAGAATGAAAACCAAAAATGTTAAGTAATTAAGATGAGAAGTAAAGTGAATCCGTTTTGAGAAGTTGTGTAAATTTAAGTTGAAAAATAATATACTGAAATGTTAGTGAATTTGAAAATTGATGTTGAAGATTCATGAAGAGATGAAAAATAGATTTTGGATAAAAACCAGAGAGAGAACTAAAAAATAATTCCATCTTCTATATAAATTTGTTTGTGCATGACCAGTAATTAAGCCTTTTGTTTTTAATATTAGTGATTTATTATGATTTTTATTTTAGAGTCCTTCCATTGCTGATTTCCTATAGTGAATTATCCATAATTTTAGTCCTCATGGTTTTGTGTGATTCATATTTTAAATTTTTTATGCTTGTTTTCAACAATTTCTAGCTTTCTTTTCTTAAATACTAAGAGCATTTTAATATTATTTTGACATTTACTAGAATTTATTTTCTTTGCATTTGTGATATCTAAAAAATTACAGTTTGATGTGCAAATATTGAGAAACATGATTTGTGTTGTCAATTTAATATGCTAATCAGTTTTAGATATTCCTAGCTAGGATTATGAATGAAAATTTCCGATATATTTTGTGAACATCTCACAAATTTTTATATTAGCTACCAGGGGGAGTATTGTAACAATGTTATGATTGTTCCCGCTAATTTCCCGTGACGCCATGAAGATGGAGCGTCCCTTTGGGGCCCACGCAGTTTGAAGAGGAGAGTCAAGTTTTGGATAGAGTTAAAATTAATGTGGGTGCATCCTGGGTGCCATCTCCTCACATGGCAGGCTATAATGAGAGTACCTATTAGTTTTGATCATTTTCACGAAATGTATTGTGATTTATGTGACCCCTGGGTCGCGAGCTAAGAAGATAGGTTGTTGTTTTGAAAGTGTAACTGTTCAATTTGAGTAACGTGGTTAATAAATGAAGAACCATTATGATTTAGTTCTCAATTCCCTTGTGTTGACTAAAACACAATATCCCCCTCTCTTCTCAAGGAGACAGAAGAAAAGAGAATTAGAGTAAGTAAAAGAAAGAATAAAAGAGTATGGAAATAAATACAAGAAATATAAAAGGAAAAACCACAGCAAATTTGTTACACTGAGATGATGGAGGGTCACCTATGTGGACCACTGAGTTGATGGAGAGTCACTTATGTGGACCACTGAGGTGAGGGAGGGTCACACATGAGGCCCATTACTTTGTACAGTATTAACCTAATAATTATTTGATTTTATTGTAGTTTAATCTGGCTTTCACGTTAGTGATTTGTGTATAAAGTTGCCAGGCATGAACAGCTGTGCCTGCTGGAACACTCCCGGCAACAATACATGTGCTGTAAAAAGCTCCATCTCTAGGTTTAAAATCAGAACTGAATTAGAAGACTCACCTGGTTCACTACAACGGTTCATTCTAATTGCCTAGGACACATAATTTATGAGGTATTTGTACAGAGCTATTGAGTTGTTCAGATTGTAATTTTCAATGTCTTCACAAAGACACCATTACAGTAGGTTGGTCGGTCAATAA